TTATAATAACCATTTCACAATATAAACTTGAGGCTACAGCCCCACACACCAACACAAATCCCTATCCTGATGAGTACACATATATGAACAGAAAGCCAACAGCACAAATGAAAAAGGAAGCATATGTTTCTTCTAATGTAGAAACATGGACCGATAGATATGGAGGCTGCAGCCTGACTGCTCATCCGTTTGTTACCTGATGAAGTTCAGCATCAGCTTCACCGCAGCTCACAAATGATGGCTCACTTGAGCCGTCCTGGGCTGAGGTCGGCATTCCATCAGCTTTAGCATCACTCTGGGTTCTAGGCTAGATTAGCATTAGCATGCTGTCTGTGCAGGTGTTTGCAAAGAGCCAAAGTTGTGGTGGTAGCATAATGCAGCTGTTTCTGTCCTGGATGCAGTTTGCACTTTACCATTATGCCCTTGTCCTTTAGAGCAATAAAAATAGAAGTAAGGTCCATACCCGTGATGCAAACTGTCCTGCTATTTTCCTCAGCTGACAACTGAAATTAGCTGAATGTAGTGCAAGTGCAAGAATCGGTGAGTCCAAGGGATTCGACTACTAGGAACCGGTTCTTGAAGAGAACTGGTTCTCAATTCCCATCCCTTTTCATGTGACATCATCCTCTGGGGTCTTGGTCATTGTTTTCAGTCGTATAACATATTAGCGCTCAGTTACACAGGCCTAAGGACTGATCAGGGTTCCCATGGCAACCTCCAGAGAGTAGAACAAAATATGTATTCCCCAGCTGGTTTGCGAGTACTTGCTGGGTGAAATCGGCCACAATGTGGGTGCTGTATCTCTATGTGGCCTTCCAGTTGCTTTGGCTGCTAACAGATTGCCACAGTAGTTTGCATGGAAAATGGCAACTTGTCTGCAAACACTTGCAACATGTTTGGCAATGAACAGTGAAACCGCAGAATGTCTAAAGCCAACCACAAACTTTTCTCCATCGGAGTAAAAGTTGTCCCCTATGTGCAACCAACACAGTTCAAAAGGCACAACTTTTACTTTGAAAGTGAAAAGTCTCTGTTTGTGGTTGGATTTGCTCTTTTTCAGGTTTCACTACAGCTCAGGCAGCAAATGGTAAATGATTGCAAACGAGTCTGGGTGTTCCATGCAAACTATTGGCTACTGTCACCAATACCTATGGTATACTTATACTTGTGTTTATAAGTATTTCGACAGTGCTAGATTTTAACCAAAGCACTTTTATCTAATGTTCACACACACACTTACACTCCAATGGGGCAACTCTGGCTTTACTATCTTGCCCAAGGATCCTTCGACATGCAGACTGGAGGAGCCTGAGATTAAACCATCAACTTCCAATTTGCAGACAACTGTGTCTCTCTGTGTGTCCCGGTACTCTGAAGTACTTCATTCCAGATGTATGTTCACTTTGAAATAACTATATGCATGCTGTATTAAAATGCCAAGCTTTGGCTTTTCTTTGAGAGTAACTTCCTATAAATAGATTGTGTACATAATGTCGAGATCAAAAAGTAATTGGACACGAAGTCAGTAAAAGTTATTATATTTCATATTGTGTGGAAAATGCTTTTACTTTTTGACCCACAGACATCAGCAGATGGTTTGCCTCTTCCCCGGTGAAGCTCTCCCTGTCATTCACAGCAGTCACTGTCAGCTTTTGGTTTTTTGGGGACTCAATCAATCAAAAATATGCAACCTCTTCACCATGTGTTCACATTGGCAGTATGAATGATGAAATGTCATCTCATGAGTTTTGATGAATTTGGCTGAATCTGAGCACTCATTTTGCTTGTGTATATCTTGGCATTCACCCCATTGCTTCTGCCAGCAGTAAATCCTCAATACATGTCATATTGCCAGTGTCTTTGGCAGCTATACATGCCCAAGTAACTTTGATGTCTCTCTAACACATTAATGCTTTGATTGAATCAAGTTATTCATACCATTTACTTGTATAGTCAATTTTTTAAATTGACAGGTAATTCCATCTCAGCGTAACAAGTGACTATCAACTCTCAATGAGTTTTTTCCTTCGTGAACTTACGCTGAAATAAATCACAGCTGCCCACAATATGTTATATTGCAGATGAAGTACTATCCATTAACTGCACAAATATTGTGTTCTGCATGCTAGTACTACAACTAGCATGCAGAATGTAATACGAATACTGTGCCATACTAGTACTATTGTTGCAGTACTGGTATAATGCAATAAACATAGTGGAACATACATTACAAACAGTGCATAGTGGAATCTAAATGGATCTGAATGGTGTCTAAATACACTTCAGAGCTTCATTACAGAAGAAAAGCACACAAGTTTGTAAAAATCTTTGTGTGTGTGTTGATTTTTGTGTGAAATCGCTTCCCATTGTAGTTACTATTAACATGACAGCGATGAGGAAAGCTAAAATTAAAATGCATATAACTGCAATCACAGTTGATTAACAGTTATCTGGATGAAGTTTGTGACGTGGGTTTCCAAATACAGATCATTAACTTTGACTAAATGATCTTTTTCAGAGAGACTGCAAATCTAAGTCACTGGGTCAGGAAGCAATGAATAGCCTAGCTTCACGCCGTTGCATTACTGTTGCAAACTAATCAGTAAGACCCAGTTGAATATCAACCAGGTTTCTGGCACTGGCTGTGTGTGTTTTTCTAAGAAAATGTCCATAGGTGGAAAGATTAAGTCTGAGCAAAGTTCACTGTGATGTTAAAAACCCTTCTAGATAAAATAGATAAAACCTTTTTTTATCAGTCAACAAAGAGGAAACTTTCAGAAGTTGATATTCTTTCCTAAGGACAAAATCCCACCAGATGTGTCTGCTGTGCCTTTTGTGACATGAAGTACGAAGCACTGAAAACGAGAAACTAATTTGTAAGTTCTTAACCTTCTGGGCTCTTGGCCATTACTGCTCTGTACAGATGTGTCTGATGTTTCATGTTACTGTGTAAAAATGTTTAAATTCAAATGATTTGAACAAAAACGTAATCATGTTCTTTTTAACACGAGTTCCTTTGCAATGCTAACACAAAACCGTCTTTAGTTTCTTTAAACGGTGCATTATGTTTAAAGCAGTTCTATATCAGCCTGTCAAAAAATCAATACAGTAAAAAGTGTTGTTGCTGTTGTTTAAACTGTGTTGAATTTCAGTCTTTTTGAAATGCTATATGCTCCGTTTACTATTAACATGACAATGATGAGTAAAATAAATGTATATACAATACAATGTAAAGGTCTGGAGTCATCCTTCATTTTATTACATTTATTTTTTTAAAAAATGGGAAATATGTGCAGTGATTTATTGAAAGATGTGTATAGATACATAGAAATACAGTATATATAACACAATCAGAGCTTCTACAAGTCTAATAATCATCAATATTTGGTATAATTACCTTTATTCTTCAACACAGTCTGAAGTCTCTTAGCCAGCTTTCTTATACTTTCTTTAAGTAATACTTCTCCAGGCTTCTTGAATTGCATTCAAAGCTCTTCTTCAGATGAAAGACATGTGGATGAGAAAGAACCAGTACTTTCTGATGAATGTCATTGCTGGATTTATTAAAGAGGAAAAAGACATACATGTTTTAGCCATGAGCCATCATTAGCATAACGTAAAACAAAAAGCAGTGACAATATATAAGGAAAGGTCCAAACGCCTATTCGAGTCCTCTCATCAAACACTGAATAATCATATATCTTTGTAAGAATAAGTTGAGCACACTCCCAATGTCAGTATCACTTAAAGACAATCTTATTAGAAACATAATAAAATTGTGCATTACAAAGTTTTCATTGATTTTAAAAGAATGCATGTAACAATCTCTAGGTGAGTTTTCAAGGTTACTGACGTGACATTGCAAATGCGTGTGTGGTGTGTCGAACCATGTTGGAAAAAGGTCAGGATGAGGTCTATGAACCTTCACTATCATTAACTTTGACAGGATTACCCCGTTGACTCACTTAATCCCTGACACTGGCTCAAGAAGTAATGAACAGCCTAGCTAGTGTACTATTCCCTGTAACTTCACATTATCACGTCGCTGTGGCGACTAAACAACAAGAGTTGGAACCATGTGATAAAAATCCAGGTTGGTCAGGTTTGAAACACATGCACCAAAGCCATACTGCCATGAACTATGTGACTGGATTGTGACACCCTGTTTTTGTTTTCATGCATTTTTAAAGTTATACAATGATTTAATGCACACAATAATGCAAGTTAACAATACAGCTTGTATTTAATGACAGGGATGTGTGGATATCCCCAAATAATATTAAATGTAGCTATAGAATCTATATGGTTACAGAATATATGTGAAACTAGTGTGTAAGAGGGGCAATAAGGATGTGTGTATTTGAGGGTTTTTTTATGTATATGAGTATTTATTTCATATATTTATAAATTTCATCTCTAAGATTTAGTGTGTAATGTGAGGGAGGACAAATATGAATAAGCGACAGGGTCATAAAGCTCCAAGTCCAAAAATAAAACCTACTATATTTCTGGTTGATTATTAGTTTATCCAGTGATCTGTAATTATCCTTCAGTGTGACAACAAATAAATCAAACAAATCTGATTCTGCTGAAACAACCAATATCTTTAATCATGCACAGATAAAACATAGAACACAGATAAGGCGCAATAAAGGAAACTAATGCGCAGCAATTCAGTCTGTAGTTATCTCATAGGTTAACCTGTGTGTGTCTGCTGTCTATACCACAAAGTCTTTTATGGTAGTACCATAAAATGCCAGAGTACAAATTCATTCAGAGACAAACCATGATTAACAATAAATAAATAAATAATTTTAAGTACAACATGAGCGATGGAAATCCCTCATTAAATCATAAAACAAAAATGTTCTGAACATTTTTCTACCATGTCTGTTTTCACTTGTACAGCACGTACAAGGAACTTTGTCCTCTTCCTCGACTGACATGTGCTGTGTCAAATCTAGAGTTGTCTTCAAGGTCTCAAAGCAATCAGACCACAAGACAGACAACAACTACCCTCAGACAAGTTGGGGAGAGAGGAGCTCAGGAGCTCTCTTGGCTTTCAGAATAAAACTTTGCCTTTATCTCTTTGCTACAAAAAAAAGAATATAGAAATACATAGAAATACCGTCACTACTTGCAGCCACTTGGATCTGATGCAGAAGATTTCATTTGATGCCTGTGCACCATTGTCCACAAGAAGGATTTATTTATTCCAATAGGTATGTACAACTTTATTACTAGCTTTTGATACAGCTGCAGACATAACAAGGTAGTTACTGACAAATGTTTAAAGATTTTCACACATTATTTTCCCCCCACAATAATTATATTTTATCATGATAATTTTTCAATAATGTCTAAAGTACTGGCAAAGATAAGAAGCATTTTTGTACTTCAGCCATGGCAGAGAGAAGGCGAATGAGTTACAGCGTCCACAGGGAGGTCCTGGATGAAAAAGCAATGGATGAGATGGGACAAAAGTCTGTATCAAAAACATCTCTGCGTGAGAAGGTCAAAAAGTCAGTAAGGTAAAGCACTTTACAGTATATTTAATCAACTGTATATCTCATCACATTCACAAATGACATTAACATTATAAACAATAAACGTTCTACTGATGAATGATATCAGCAGACATACTCCAGTTTTACAGTTGATCATAGAAACGATGAGATCAATGAACCGAACAAAAAAAAAAAGTATATAGTTATATAGAGTAACATCAACATCACCACAGGTATTATGGCAAAAAAAATTATTTCTAAAGACCACAAGCTGGCTGTACACATGCATATATCTGCTGTAAAGTCTTTAACTTCATGTGGCTGTCCGACTGTGTAGAATGGGCGATGGCTCACTTTTGGGACCAGCCTCAAGTGGCTATCCTAGGAACTGCAATTAGAGATTGAATTCATAGCTCTTGATCACATAAACCAAATCAAACTCAAAGAAAAGTATTAAGTCTTGCTTTATCTAATTATTGCATGCAAAAGCCATATTGAGGTATGAGTCTCACTTCACACTTTTGTTAAAGCGTCTGCACTGGTCTACACTTAGGTTAAGATATTTTAAAGTTAATTTTTTTTTTTTAAAAAAAATTAAAAATCGTGATTCTTGTTTTTATGGCCTTAAGAGTTAAAGCTCCCCCACATCAGTCTACTCCACTCCTATTCTCCAAAGCGGATCCTTAGGTCAGCAGATAGAGGTCTTCTGGTGATTCTGAAAATTAAGGGGGATTGCGAACCTTAGCGACAAAATTGTGGAACAGCTGTTATCGCTCTATTCTCACCCTCAACTCTGTGGCGTACAACATCTGAAAACACATCTTTTCAGACAGGCACTTGGGTAATGTCTCTGTGTTTTGTGTTGTTTTACTTGATTTAGGTGTGCACATTTTGAATGCCTCTGTAAAGCACATAGTGGCTGGTTTTCGTCTTACTTATTAACTTTTTCAGTAGTTCAGTAAAAAAGCTGGAGTCATCAGAAGTGGTTTGGCATCAACTTTATGATTAATAAAAAAAAGCTTATCCCTGAAGTATTTTCTTTTAACTATCACTTTCTGCATCTATTTTTACCCTCTGCTGACACAAAACACATCAGGTGTTCTGGCCACCGGATGAAGAGCTGCCTGCTGGGTACTGTTCCTATTTTGTCATGGCTTCCCCGTTACCCCATCAGAGAAAATGCCTTGGGTGACCTGATCTCTGGGATAAGTGTGGGCATCATGCAGCTGCCACAGGGTGAGATGAAAGTTCAAGAGATAGTAGGAGAGCTAGATATAGGTATAATGTTCTAATTTGTTTATCATAAACTGCAGTCAAAAATGTTTCTTCTCCATTGTTGAAATAATAAAATGTTTCTTTATCTATTATAAAAAGTGTAGAAAATCCTCTGTTCCTATCACTGCAGGTATGGCCTATGCCTTGCTGGCTTCTGTTCCTCCAGTATTTGGCCTGTACTCATCCTTCTACCCAGTCCTTATCTACTTCATCTTTGGCACATCCAAACACATCTCAGTTGGTATGTAATAGTTTATGGTTGCGTGTTCTATTACAGCTTGGTATTAAACTAGCAATAATGTGGCAACAGATAGTTACTACTATTAATTACAAATTAACATACAAGTAAATATCTTGCCTCAATAGTGGTTATATATGAATAATATTACCTTGAAATGTGTGTATCACAACAGAAAGTGATGGTAATAATACTTATTCATACTTATACAAACGTATGTCTATGAGAGAAAAAGACAAAGAGTAATAGTACTTTGGTATGTTAATAATTAAAATATTAATGATGACCTGATATCAATAAAATGGTAACCTTTACACCTTTGAATTTTCATATGCTGACATTAGTAGTAAAGTTGACGAGATGGTGACCCCAAATCAAAAAGGTGATATTAGGTGATTTCTTTTATATTTAACAAATAAAAAGGTGAAATTAATTCCATCGCAAATCCCCAGCATTCTTTAGTGTTCAAAGGTTTAAAGGTACAACACTACTCAGCATTATGTTTAATGTTGTGTGATAATTACCTGGAAACATGTGACAACTACATTCAACAACCACTATGGAGAGTGCCGTAGTTTTACAAGATTATTATGTCGGTCAGCTTTAAGGCCAGCAAATGCCTAATTTTATATTTTAAAGTCTAAAAGTTTGCTTACATGCGCATTTGTAGACATATTAGAAAATATTCAGTAAGACGTTGTTGTAGAGACACGTCAACACTTGTCTAAAATAAAAGTTTTTGTAAATCTATTTATAATATTTGTTTCCTAAATCACTAGACGACATTAAAAGGCATCACACTTGGAAAAGTTGCCTTTTAAACTGGCTGATCAAAAAAGGAAACAACTTGGAAGCGAAGTTACATTAATCAGAACGAATGGAGACTTTATACCCTAGTGATATGATTCCCTCAGAGCAAAGTCCAAATGACTTCGTGTTTGTGAAGGACCCATCAGTTTCCTGGCTGAAATAAATCAGTAAAAAATAAATCAGTAAAATAAAATAAATCTGTAATAATAAAATTATTAATCAGTGGAATAACATGTTGCTTCACTGTGTTTTCATAACGCCGCCTAATAGAAATCATTTTCTATCTCTGTTTTTTAGGAACATATGCAGTGATGAGCGTGATGATAGGAGGAGTGACTGAGCGACTGGCCCCAGACTCAAACTTTATGACATGGGACAATGTGACCAACACCAGTATAATTGACACAGTTGCCCGTGATGAGGAAAGGGTCCGAGTGGCTGCAGCTGTCACATTTATATCTGGGTTATTTCAAGTAAATATTTGAAATCACTCAAAATTTCCACCCTGCATTCATAAATTTTGGAGCCATAAAGGGGCACTTGTCTCACTGAGTTTGGATGTTTCTTTTGAACAAATGGAAATATCTTGTCACCATCAACAGGCAGCTGCTGCTCAAACATTAGTGAATAAAGTAAAATGCTGTGCAAATGCTAATAAGCTTACATAGCTCTTTGAGGCCCATCTGCCTGACAGCAAATGCTTTTAGACTTCAGTTTCAATATGTTATTGATTACTTCAAAAGAATGAAAAGAAGCTTCTCGCTGCATGAGCCTGCAGGGACTCTGGGAACTTCAGCCTGGA